CATAAGAAAACACCTGGACATTGATTACAAAATGCACTCTTATCTTCTTTCTGCTCTTGGCCTTACACATCCCTTAGCTGCTTGCACACATCTCAAAAAGCTTTCACCATCCTTGCTGGACATTTTACACATTTCTGTTGAAATTTAATTACATAATAGCTGAGCTAATCATTCCCAGATGTAATAAGTCACAGGAGACTGTTTTGTTTCCTCAGTCCCCACCTAACACATGCTGGTTTATACAATTAAGCAGCTCTTCTGCATCCCAGTGGAGTGAATGACAATACCTTGGTCAGAAAGCTCAGGCAGTGATGCAGCCTCAGAATGAGAGCTGTCTTCTCACTTTCTCAAGCACTCATAGAAGATTAATGAGAATTCATACTGAGGGGAAAAAAACATATATTTTATTTTGCTGGCAGCATGCACATACAAGAAAAATTATCTTTTTTAATAAAAATCAATGATGACTTAAAACTCACAATAAATGTTGCAATATTAATAAGAGATGCTACACGTAAAATTAGACTTAAAGGTGTAGTTTTCCCAGCTATTTACAACCCACATTTTGGGTCTTATCATGCTTCCAGCAGAGAGCGAAATGGTCTAAAAGAGCTGTTAGATGGAATAAAATAAATATGCCTCAGTGCAAATGAAACAAAAAGAGCATACCAAAAGTTCCTGACTGATCTCCAGTGTCACCTCCTCCCAAACTGAAGAGGTCAGCATGTAGCTCTGAAGCACACGTGTTACTACCAAGCAGTTATGAAGGTAAACTGTGAGAAGCAGCAGTGGGTTAAACAACATGGCAAGGGATGCTGTCTGAATGCAGGGCTCTGAAGGAGCAGCACACCATATCTGCCTACTTCAAGGAAGGGTTGATTGTGTTATATGGTGCGTGATAGATGTCTGTGTAGCTAGTTCTTGAACACTTGTGTTGGATGCTGCAGTCTACTCACAGTTTATTCCAGTGCCTCAATAGCTTTCACATTACCTGGTTTACCCTGCTATCTGATCCTGGTGCAAGTCAATTTGTTCTGTTTTGTATTGTCTGCTCTGAACTCAAAGGGCATTCCCTTCTCTGCTGCAGCCTGTATGTACAACAAGCATAGGTTTTTGTTCCTCTTCAGACAGCCCCTCTTCCCTCACTGGTTCTCTGTAGGTCCCATTCTGCAAACCGTTTTTGCCATTCTGTATTTATTTTGTTGATCATCCTTACTCATCACTTTTATGTTGAATTTTAAGCTTGCCTTCTAGTATAATTTCAGTTTCTCTGAATAGAATGTTGTGTGCAAATTTTAGACATTTATTTTCTATTTTTTTTTCATTCTGGTTATTAATGAGCAGTGCCAGAACTAAGATGCACCACGTAAATTCTCTGTGAGGCATACCCTTCTCATCTAACAACAAACCATTTATTATTCTGGATATGGCTTTTCAAACATCTCTTCACAGAAAATATGGGTTGGTTTGCTCAGTTTATCATGTGAAACTATAGTTAAAATCTTAGAATGCAAAATGCAGAATAGCTACTGTGTCATCTTCAGGCACGTGGTGTAGAAAGATAGTAGAATAGTTTATCCTGATTTCCTTCACATAGACACATAATCCTCATCTGGTTGTACCCCAACAGTGGAAGGAAACTGAAGGATGGGTCTTGATGCAAGAGGGAAGGCTTTGCCACGCAGAAAATAATTCCAGGAGGGACTGGCAAGGGGGTAGGGAGAAATAAGTGAAGAGAGGACAAGCAAATCTCTCTCAGAGTCATATCTAGTGCTCATAGTAGCACTTTTTGTGCTGATGCCATGGTAACTCTTAGGACGCACACAGAAAAGGGTAACAACAAATACAGTTTTTATTCTGTTCAATGATATGTACCTGTCTTACTCAGTGAAGCAAGCACAGCATGAAAAGACCATGTGCCATGCATTGGGTCAGCTTAAACAATCACAGCGATCCCTCTGGGCTATAAAGCAAACCAGATGCAGTGAGCTTTTCTTCTGGAGAAAGAGGCTGAGGTCTGGCTCCTTCCAGATGCTGCCAGCTTGGAGGGGAGGCAGAGGATAGGGAAGAGAACCCCCAGTCTGGTGTCCTGCATTACAAGTGCATCTGAAGTCACTGTCTCTATCAGTAACTCTGAAGTAACTGTATATTATAGTTGCCACCACCTTATTGAAAGGGAGGGGGAATTTCCAACGACTGCAGATGACTCTATTTCAAGACCTATTTAAATAGTTCCATCATAGAGCCAGAGGAGCTGATGCCCTGTTTTGCATCCCTTATTTTCCTCATTTATTTAATGTAGCTCCTTCGTGCACTCTAAAGATTCAATTCCATTCTTGATTGTTTATACTCTTAAATACACAGCCACTTTTATCACATATCCTGCTAATCGTTAGTTACCCGAGAGGGTTATTTTTAGCAATGTTAATCTTTCCTCAGAAGTCACTGCCTTGAGTTCCCTATTCATCCCAGTTGCTCTTTTCTGAGCTCCCTCCAAGTTGTTGGCAGTGTACCATGCAACCTCTTATTTATTTTTGAAGATCCCCTTTGGGTTTTAATTCCAACAGACACAAAATAGCACGGTGATGCTGGCTGGAGTGAGTCACTGAAAATGCAGAAATAGGTCTGTGGGATGCAGTCCAACCCCAAGAAGCTCAGGGAGAAGCAAGGTGCTGGGGGATTGGGGATGCTGAGAAAACAGAGAGTTGTGCTATTTCAAGTGCATGAAACAAAATCTGAAGTTACAATAACTCAGCTATTTTGAGGCATTGTTAAGAACTGAAAACTACGAGTTGTGGCTCACATTGAACAAAGGGAGTTGCTGACTTCTTGGGACTTTATCATTACTTTTTGTCTGTGAGATGCAGTGTGCAGTTCCCAGCTGCGTGCAGCTGGGTAGGGTCTGAAGAAGAACTGCCGAGTCCATCTGCAAGCAGATACAGATTCACACTTGAACTTCAGAGCTTACTGCCCTGCACTTTTGATTCAAATACCAGATTGGACCTCGGAGGAACTGAATAAGTTTTACCACAAGATTTTTCAGCCTGATACTCAGATTGAGAACACCTTTCCCGTCTTGCATACACCAGGCAGAAAGCAGTGCCCCACACCCTTATTTCATTATATTCGCATTCATTTCACAAAGAAAATCTGTCATGTGCTTTCACGCTCCTTCTTTTTTCCAGAAACAGAGGTAGAAAACTGCCCTTCTTGTATTGTTACCATGGAGAGAATAAAGCCCATGAACGTTGTTATTCAGGCTTTTCATGTTATCCATCAGTCAGAAGCCTGGAAAAGCTATATGAACCTCCTGACCTGAAGCACAGAGCACATGCAGTACAGCAAAGCCAGGATATCCATCACCCTGTGCTGGTGCTCAGGGTCAACGCTCTCACTAAAGAATAACACCATTTGCAAGATTTAAATGCTCTTGCTTAGACCTCAGATGGGGTTGGAAGACAGAATCCAAATTTGAGCACTGAATAATCTGGTGCAGAAATGGGTCAAAGTGTTGCAATTTGCCCCATTTCTCAAAAGCATGCAGATAGAAAGTCAGTGTTTCCTTTTCCCTTGTGTAACTTCTTATGTTCCCATTGCTTTGTGTCCCAACACAGTTCCACTTCCAACTCAGAATAGGAACCGATGACATTGGTACCCAATATCTCAAATATTGACAAAGCCAGGATTTGATCTCCACTTGCATAATTTCACTGATTCCAATAGGATTTACAGCCCCCAGTCCCTAGACTGAGGATAATAAAGCCAGTGCAGTCTGGCTCTTCTTTATTATCCCTTTTAAAGTTTATGTCTTCAAATATGGTCTGGTTATGAGTTAACAATACTGAAAAGATCAATACCAGAGTCTGACTAGGGGAGCACAAAACATGTTCATAAAAGTTAAATTAGAATCATAAAATGATTATGGGCTCTGAGTTTTCTTTCTTTTTTTTTTTTCCTTCTTTTTTTTTCCCCTTTGACTCTGCTGCCTGCTATGGGTGACTGTTTGCTGGCCAGCGGGGAAGCAATTCACATCTGTGCTCCCCTTCTCTGCCCCCATTATATCTCAAGGCACAAAGGGTTGGAAAAGGACTGTGTGGAGACCCTTCCAGAGGATTCTGTGGGCTTCAGGTCATGTTTAAATGCCCTTTATTTTTTTATTGTTATTTCTCTAGCAGACTTCAGCAGATGCCTAATAGGAAGCTCTTCAGAAATGGCAGAGATGAGTGACAAATGCAAAACACATTCTCCATCTTCACTACAAGAACATGATGGGCGGTGCGTGTAATGCCCTCAGTACCTTTGCTGGATGATCCAGGCTGAACTGATTTCTGTCCTCTTACCCATTTGTGCAACAGTTACCTCCCAAAGAAACAATTCTGCTAAAAGGACAATTCTGTGCTTTTATTGATTTGCTCCTTTTGCTTCTTCCCATGAGCCATCTCAGCTTCCTTAGGGGAAGAATACATAACTAAGTAAAAACACACTGGACCATTTTCTTGTAGTGATGTTTCTGTGAATGGCACTGCAGCAAAAGGCAATCCCAGCTTATTGTTAGTAATATTATGGTCCAACATCTGTCCTGTATCTGCCTTAGATGTTTCTGTATTTCCTATTACTTGCTGTAATTCTAATATGCCCACTTTTCTCATGTCCAGTGAGTGCAGATTGGACGTTAAGCCAGGTTATCAGCAGGCAGAGGCACAGGACAACAAGGAGCTTATGCTCCTTCCCAGCTGGAAGCTATGGATGCAGCACAGAATGGACAAGCTCCTTAACTTTGCAGCACCTTCCCCAGCCTCTCTTTGCCCAGCACGTGTATGAACGTGAGCACCCTCCTGCACGTGGGTGTATCGTGTGAAATATCGAGTTGCTTGAGAACTACCTGAAGTAACCTTGCTCTTGCTCCTAACAAAAAACGCTGTTCGGTGATTTACATTCTTTTGTAATCCGATGCAGTGATTAGAAAATCTCTTCGTTGTATTCTTTTCCCTTTAATGCAGCAACCAACGACCCCTGCGCTGGATGTGAGAGAGAAATGTCAGCTCTTCATGTGGAAATGAGTCAGCCAACCATATGTAAACATCAGGGGGAGCAGCGAGCATGACAGAGATTTGAGCGAGGAGAACATGAAATGGGCTTTAATCTGATCACAAATCTTGCTTCCGGGGAGGAGAGCTGCATGCTGCCAAGTGCCCTAGACAGCAGAGACAAGTCCCCAATTATGGATGTGCAGACTCAGAAGGATTCAAAGAAAGAGCTGGCAGGTAATGATATTGTGCTATTTTGCCGTTGCTTTGTCTCTGATACCAGCCCTGGCGTCCTACATTAGCCCTGTCTCTCACCACTGTCAGCCCTCTGCTTTTGCATCACCCCTTCCTCTCCCAGCAACCGGAGAGGGGCAGCATCAAACTGCCCGTTTGGTTTATCTGCAGTGCCCTTGTAATTTGATGGAGATAACTTTGGTTAGCACATCTCGTACTACATCTGAGTACCCTACCAGTGGTACTCAGAAAGGACTGGCTGGTTCCCGTCCATCTGAGGGCAGATTTCCAAAGGGCCCAGGTACTGGGGAGGTGGTTTCCCTTCTAGATAGCTGCAATGCCTTCAAGATTGAGGGAGAGAAGGAGGTTAATATATGGCATAGCAAGAAGGCAGGGAATAACAAAGGTTATTTTCAACAGGTTCTAGGACAGGAGGACAAGGCGGGCAGTTGTGGGTCCACGGTGGTGGCTTATCAGGGGACTGAATTCCTGGGTTGCTCGCAGGAGGAAGGGCAGTGAAGCAGTGAAGTTGTCTTAAATCACTAATAAGAGAGGAGAAGGGAGGACCCTAGATCAGGTGGAGGGGCAGGATGGCCATCACTGCTCACAGAGAGGGGAATAACCAGAAACTGTCTGAGGAGAGATTTTCCAGTTTCTCTTAAAAGAGAATAATGGATCTGCCTTCAGGGAGGTAAGTATACTCAGGGGACAAAATGTGCAACACAGTACACTCAGGTACTGAGGACCAGAGTTTTAAACTTCTCTACTTCCAACAGTGTGTCCCCTGGGCAGACTCCATCTGTGTTATTTCTCTGTATCATACCTATTGTTCAGCCACTCTGCTGTTCCCAGATAAAATGAAATGAGGCAGGTTGAAGTTCAAAGGCAAACCTGTTAGGAGACATTCACCAAGCTCACTGCTGCTGCCATACCAGGGTATGGGAATGCTCTCTCACTTTGGAAAGTGCCTGGGCTGTGCTGGCATGGTGTCACTCCACAGTTTGTAGTTACCTGCAATCTGGCAGCCAGAGGAGACTAATGATGATTAGTCTTGTGACCAGACTGCTGCTGCAGACGCCTTTGGTCTTGGGTCATCTATCTGAGTGTTATTCCAGCAGTCAGGAAGGGATCAGCACTGAAGCTTTATGCAACCACAATTTCCCTGTCCAGAACTCTGTGCAGTAGCTCTCTAGCTCTGCTTTCCTGGGCACTAATGGCAAAAACTGCGTTTCTCTGCTCTAACCTTTGGTCATATTCTTTTCCCCATGCTGAGATTATTGCAGATCAATGATTTTTAAGTGCTGACATAGACACAAATTTTACAGCTAGTTGGTAATAGATACTGCTTATTTCAGCAGCATTCCTCCAGAATATAAAATTATGTTTACACTTACATGGCACCTTTCAGCTGAAGAGCTCAAAGTTGCAAAGCTTCAGAAATTCCTTGTGATGTGAATCTAATGTTATTGATGAAGACAAGAGGACACAAAGAGATTGAGTATAACAGCATAAGAACAGCTCTTACAGCTCCACAACTTCAGACTGAAAGTCTGTCTAATATTGTTTCTATGTGTGCATACAAGATAGAATGCCTACCTGATACCCTGGGAGCTCTTTGCTTCCAAATGTCTATGGCTCTAAGGTTTTCTAAATGATATCTGGTTTTTATGTCACTAATGATTCTGAATAGTAACTATGGAACTATTTGCAAATCCATTAAGATCCAATAGGATTCAAGGAGCTAGGAGATGTCTTATCATCAAGTTAATGACTCAAGCAAAGTGAAGAAGACAAAAATGCAGAAGTCCATCCATTTAACCATCACACCATACCTTTAAGAGAAAGATATAGAGGCACTAATATTGCCACCTGATTTTTCTCAAGTGCTGCCAGACTCACCAGGAACTCAGGGTAATGCTGAAAATTAGACCTGTACCTGCAGACTGATGTATGCTTTTTGTTATGAAAAGAGATCCATACTGCAACCTCCAGGCACATATAGGATGATATTTTAAATGAGAAATGATGAGAGTAAATTTCCAGCAAGTACAGAAGAAACGAAAAAAACCTTTTGAAAAAGCACACTTTGTTCCCAGCTTTGCACTTCACTTGCATTCTCAGTGTTGCAGGAGAGAGCTGTGTAAATGAAGGTCACTGCAGTTACTTGCAAAATTGTCTGGAGGGTTTCTTCTAAATGAAAGGCTACTTCTTTCTTTTCTTTCTGGATTATGGCTTAAGAGATCTGAATACTGCAAAACCCTGGGCAGGTAGCCCAGCATAGAACCATGAGCTGAAAATATTTGAAACTTTGGATATTCATCTTTTTCTTGTGATTATTTTGTAAACAGCATTTACAAATTGCTATGCAGCATTTTTGAAGCTCAATTCACTGGTGGAAAGAGGAGTCATTTAAAAACATCAAAGACCCAATTGTTTGGGAGTTTAAGAGACATTCCCATCCTTGTTGAGAGGGCAAAATCACTTTAACTACTTGAAAATCATTAGCAACTAATGGACTTGGTTCTGAAGGAAAGCATGACTGCACTTGGGGGTCTCATGCTAGTGGTGTTGTCTCTACCACTAGACATACCCCCACCTCCTGCAGGGCATTACTGTCTCTTCCCACCATTTCCATGCAATTTTTGTGTGTGTGTGTTATTACCTGCTTTATGTTGATTTCCCACTGTGTTTAAGGATGCCAGAGAAACCATTGTGAGAAGATACAAGAACCCCTGACTTTTTGTCTTTTTTAAAGAATAATTGGGAATCTTGCCTCGAAGTCTTGGTGAGGCTCCAGGTTGCCTGAAATTGGGCTACCCCTTAAAGTAGCAGTGTTAATGGAAAAAACAGAGGCTGAGAATGCTTTGAGGTTGGACTGTTGTCTCTTGGGTCACAGCATAGGCATCATCAGAAAAGCACTGTAGATGTTTTCCCTCTTCATGCTTTCTGAGGGAATAACAGAGCAATTGTTAGTCACCCCAGGCTTTTCAATCTGGTCCATTTCACCAAGACTAAATTTGTTTTGCAATGTGAATAAATTAAGACAGAACTGAAAAATGTCTGGATGAAGATTAGTTAATCATTTAGAGAGTCCCATCAGCTCTCAGGGCTCTACCATGGAGCTCCCACAGCATCACTAGTATGTTCTGAAAGGCAGCCAATGAGCAGGATCTGATTCACTGCCCGGATTAATCTATATGAATGGCTGTGGGATCCATTTGAAAGCAGCACTGAGAATTGGCCTATAAAAAGACAGCCTGATTTTTTGCGGAAGCTACTTTGGGAAATGAATGAGGACTTTACAATCTCCTTCAGCCATAAAAAAACATACACGTCTCATACTGCTGCTTGCCTATTTTAATTAAACCAATAATTAAATTTTAATGAAATGAAGGTTTTCCTGAAAAAGAGGCAGCAGTGACTGAGTAGTTTTCAGCTGAAGGAGGGAGCTGAAGTGGATCTATCAGGCCACTGGGCTTCCCTCCCCTAACAAGTGTTGGAGGAAATGCAAGGCAAAGCGGCTTCATGTAATGAACTGCACAAGAAACACTTATGATAATGAAGTCAAGAGGCAGCTCTCCTTGGCTGTGCATTTTTATCCATCTTCTCCCAGAATAATGCTCTACTCTCAAGGTCTTGGCTTATACCTTAGAGGCCACTGCTGCAAGAATTCCTTAGAGATGCCAATGCTGTCATAGCGGCTGCCCCAGGGACAAGTCCAGGAATAATCGGCGCTTGGCTCCATGTTACAGCGAGGAAGTTGTAGGCACAAACCTCTGTGGCCACTCTTAGTTGAAAAATGTTCTTTGAGATAACTTTTATTTAGAAATGAATAAATAAACCTCAGAATTTCACTGAGCTCATCTCCAGAGTAAGACAGGTTCCAGGTTCACATACAAGCTCATGAAATGCTACCCAAAGGCCGAAAAGGTGCAGATGTTTGGATGAACGCTCAGAAGCAGTGATAAGGTGCTTGAAATGCACACAAATGTGCGTGCAGCCACAGGCTCATTGACTTTAGATAGAAAAATGTAACTGAACAGATGATTCCTCTTTCCTCCCCAGATATGCCCACCTTGTGCTTTTCTGTGGTGACACTGTTACCTTTATTCTCCTTCTGCCACTGATGCTCTGTGTGTCCTTGAGAGACTCCGCTTTGACTTAACAAAGTGTAAGCTGGAGCAAAAATGATTGCCTGGCTCCCAGAGAGGGAGTTGTGAGAGCTGATGGATTAATATTTACTGCATTTTGTACATGTCAAGAGCTATTGATAGGCACACCAGGGAACTTTCTGGGCACATCCAGTGCTAAAAGGAGGAGCTGCCACAGCTTGAATGGAAGGGATGCATCTGGGGATTGTTAGCAATTATGCTGTGTTTGTAGAAACCAGCACTGACCTATGCAGAAGAGGCCTGCATTGCTAACGCCTCTGCACTGGAAGACATCACTGACGTACTCAGAGATCACATGAAAGTAGTTTTAGATTAACTCTTCCATAGTTAAATTTACTTTGGAAGAACGATGGGCACAATCCTGCCCTTTATGAGTTTGTGCACTCACCCTAAAAACTTACAAACTCATCGGTCTCTTTCAAAATGTGCTTTACAAGAAGCAGAAATTCCAAAGATAGTTTCTAGAGTTTTATTAAAAATATGTGGCTGAGTAGAAGTGTGACATCCACTACGTTCCTCTGATGAGAAAAGGCTTTTCCATTCAATTCAACACGGCGTAGCATGGTTATCTTTAGCTAATGTTCCCATCGCCTTCATGGATGTGGGAAACTGGACCAGTTCTTTTGAACTGTTTCTTTCCAGGAGAGTTTGCAGGAAGGTTGAGAGGTGGGATATATTTCTTAGTAGTGTAGAACAGACAGAAGTCAGAAGGACCTCTGTCCTTCTAAGAGACCGTTTTCAATTGCTCCCAGAGCCAGATCTCCCAGGAACCCTCTGTGCTTTTCCATCAGTCAAAGCAAAATGTAGACAAATGCTGTCCCTCAGTCTTACAGCTTCTCTGTCTCTGAGATGATTTCCCTCCCTGCAGTGCAAATTTCCCTGCACTTCAAGTTTCATTGTATTCCTCTTTACAGGAGAACCATTCATCATTCAGGATGGAGAGAATTTTAATGATGCAGGGTTGTAAATAACTGCCCATTCTCAGTTCCAGCTGTGCTTCTCATGTAGCCCTCAGCACTGACAGTCTGCTTCCAAGGCCTCTGTAGCACTGACACATTTATTATGTCACAAACCAGCACTCAGGGTCAGTCTTAGCAAAAACTTACTATGTATGCAGAGAGTTCAGCCTTGGAGAATTCAACTCCAGACTTAACGAAAGCCAGGGGCAGCAGGATAGGAGTTCTCTTGCTTGTCGATGGAAGAACTAGGCACAAGTGCAAATTCCAAAACAGACTAAACCCACAAAAAAATACCCACTTCAAAAAAAAACTCCAAACAAACAACACCTGTCATTTTCTTTAACATTTCTGCCTCATAATGCAGGGATAACGAAGGAGTTTCCCTGGGAGTTTTTCTGTTCACTCCCGATTACATTAGATTTAGAGAACAGTCACTCCTATGGCTTCTGATCAGTTTTCTGATCAGTTTCTGGATGTTTGGTAGAGAAAGTCATTCAGTATTGATCATTAAATACAATTAACAAAGTTCAGTAGCCTGCTGTTGCTGAAAACATTGATTGCGTGGGATAAAGTACTTGCAAACTTACAGGGGGTCACTGCTGTTACTGCTATGGTGAAGGTCAAGTGTAGACATCTAGTGATCAAAAACAGATTCTCATTTCATTAGGTGCTTCCTGTCTCTCTGCCTGTCTCTCTGACTCTCTTGAACGTGTCCTTCAGCTGTTCCCTCTGACAAACTGCTCTGTGTAGCACTAAATATGAGCTAACAGCATAGCATCACCAGTCCTCTGTTATCTGTGCAATCTCGTGTTCCTACACTTCGCTCTTTCTTTACATTTTGTTTCCTTATGGGCATTTTTCACCCAACCCAGCATTTAAATGGACTGGAAGGTGACTGTGATATTCATTCATTTTTGAAGCCTGTGCCGATCAGAGCAAAACAAGAGGAAGCAGGATGGGCTGAAAGGCTGAACGAGCTTCTACAAAAATTTAGATGGGGAATGTGTTTTGGAGTTAATTCTCTGTGTTCTGATATGGTATCACCTACAACAGCCCAGTTTCCATGTTTTTCTCCACTTGCTGGTCTTGTTAATGTGTAACCCACCAGATTGCTCATTTGGTTTGAGTTCTCTCCTTTTTCTTTGGTTGTTTTTGCTACTTTTTTTTTTTTCCCCTGGTGCCTTTGCATACTGAATACTGCTATGTTTGTCAGAGATGCTAAATGTGAGACAAACAGAAGAGACAGATATGCCACAGTTTGTTCTGCTAATGGGAACACTTTGTGTACTGCTGCGTCTAGCTGCCATAAAGTCCGTTTCCTTAAACATTCAACAAAACAGATTCTTCCCTGTCTTGCGCTTATGTCTGTACTCACACTTTTGCAGTGTGGGTGCCACATAAAACTAAATTAGCATAGAAACATTTTAAGGCAGGCAAAACTGATGACACAAGTGACAAAGTAGAGGAGAACTAGGTTGCCGGGGTTGGAAAAATCATTGTTTCCCTTTATGAGCAATTGAAAAGCTTGATACAGGTATGTCTGCAGGCAAATAGAGAGGGCATTTTGTCCAGTAGAAACATTCACTGAGCTGCAAGTGGCAGAACAGGCCTTGCACTGTTGCCTGGAGACTTAAAAAATGCAATTAAGGCATCAGTGCCGTTAACTATTGCTTTATTATTTCATCCTCTTCCCTTGCTTCTTCAATGCATCCCTGCTGTTGTCCTTCAAAATGATGCTGGCATGATAGGATACTTGATGGGAGGTAGGATAGTCAGCCCCCACTGTGCGTGCAGTGTGCAGCAAGAGGGTTCAAAGTGGGAACATCTGACAGCAGTCGAATGGTTAAATGCATCTTTCTGAAGATAAGCTGTGTATGCGTGTTTAATATATGGCTGGCTTTTCATGAACTAGATTTAAATAAGAGCCCAACAAAGTATATTTCAGAATATTTGACAATCTGTCAGGGTATGAGAAGCATACATTCTACCTGACAAATGAAAGCTTTTATTCTTAGATGAAGGAAAGGACAGCATGGCATAAAGCCAGCATGTTTCCACTCCTGGTTTATGAAACAATTCAAGACAAAATTGTTCAACTGCTCAGAGTTTGATTTGACAAAACATTGTCCATTGTTATTCCGAAGGAGACCCAAGGCATGCAGAGGTCATGTGAAATCTGTTTGAGCCTAGCCAGCAAATGCAGTGTGTTTTCAAGCCTGGGTTAACATATTATTATGGCAGATCTCTTTATTTGATTCTATTAATGCCTTTACAAATGGTGTAGGCTTTAGTGATCTGGAAATAAAGAAGTGAGAGCATGCCTTTCTATAGGACCATGCCTCTCAGCATCTGCCAGAAAGGACAGTGACACAAGAAAATATCCTGTATCGTGTACTGACACAGAAGATAGCATAGCCACTGTAGCCTCTGATACACCATCCTTATGTCCTGTACATCCTATATCCTTGGTCATCATGCTGCTGCAAAAATGAACTGCTGCATGGCCCCAGATGATGCTCCCAGACCCTGCCACTGTGCAGGAAAAAAATGAAAGGTGGGATGGCAGGGATGTCTCAGAGGAGCAAAACTCTGATTAAGCCTGCTGTCCCCTTGTCTGCTGCAGGCACCATGTACAGTACCAGCCTCATATTAAACCAGTGTAAGACCAGCAATTTCCAGTGGTCAGTTTCTGACCCAGAAGATATTAACTTGCCATCCAGTGGCTGCAGAAGGTTTGGGCAGCTTCCAAAAGCATCTGAAAATGAATTTTCACATCACAACTTGTGTTTTCATTCCCATTTTAACCATTTCAGTGCTGTAGAAGAGTGATTACTTCATGTGAGGGGGGGTTGTTATTCAGAGAGGCAAACCTCTGCGTAGGCATTTATAAACAGAATATCATCTCCGCATGTATATTGCTCTGGTGATCACTTATGATAAGCATTGTGCTTGAACAAAAGGCAGGGAAAATGAAGGGTTGTTAGAGAAAAGAGCATCCAAATAATACTGCTACTGAGAAAAACCCAACAATATCTCCTCATTAAGATACATACACATTTCTTGGCTGTGTAATTTTGACAGGAGAGCTCATTTCTATATTTAATGTAAATGAAGCATGGACAGTTAACTGGGTATTTTACACCATGATATTTCAATTGTGTTTCATAAAACTCATGCTGGCCTTGGAATGAACAATTTATCCAATTAGGGTTTCTTTTTTCCATTTTTAATGGAATCTGGCTACTCTCTAATCTGTCTCACTGGTTTAAAAATTGAAATAATCCTATTAGAAACCAGGTGTGCAATGTGAGTGCAAAATTGGCATCATTTTTATGAGAATCAGGGAAAAAATATCCTCAGGTTATTCACAGGTTTCCACGCTGATTTTTGTTATTTAGGCTTTATTTAACGCTCATATCTAAAAACTGAATGATGTCTGCATTTCTTTGGTGTAGACTGTAGGTCAGAAATGTGAAGTTTGGCTGTGGCTGCTCACCTTTTTCTGGAGGTATTGATACCGGTCCTACAGTTGCTGTATTTAAGTCTTCCCTGGGCTAATTTTTATTTATCCTGTGAATTACTTTCAAATGCAATTCAGTGTTACATGAGTATCAACAGGCTGAATTCTGGTTTGGAATCCAAAGAAATGTGAAAATAATGCTGGGAATTTATATTTTGTATGGGATTCCCACTTTTAATTTACGAATCAATAATATTACAGTTGCTAACTATCTGACAGAGGGCTTCTGTCTTCCTCTCATCACTTCATTCACAAGGAAAATGTCCAGATTCTCTCATGCAGGGAGAGTTTTAACCTTTTATCATTCTAATGCAGTGTCATAGTTTAAAACATTTTTAATTTTTGTATGATGCTTTTGAATGAGGGTTTGCATATTTTATAGCTTTACAACGCGCCAACAAGGAAAACTTCAAAATTGCCTTTTACAGGCAGGGGAAATGTAGGTTTAGGTATAGGAACAAGTTTCTGTGGTTAGAATTCTACTTAGCACCAGCTGATCCATGTTAATGACTTCTGCATATGCTCATAAAATGGAATAATTGGACGGAGTGCTCTTTTAATGCAGGTAAAACCATCCTGCATTATTTTACCTTTGCTGTGGGCTAAAATACTGAGCACATATTTGCTGGAGATCAGGCGACATCTTTAACTTGTTTCTGTGTCTTCGCCCTGGGCACAAGAAAAGAAAATTACAGGTCACAGTTTGTACAGCAACTGCAGAGAGCCCAGGGGTCCTGCCTTTGAGCTTCTAGTGCCCTCTGTCCTCCCCCTAAGAACATTAACTCTGGCACTGGTAGGAAGCTGCAGTCATGAGTTTAATTTCCATTTTGTTTAAGGATCACATAAACCTGAGGGCACAGGGGAAACAACAGTGGCATCTATATGAACTTTAACAAGCTAATCATCAAGCTGGATTGACAGCGTAATATGAATAGATGGGAGAATGTTGATGCTTTACTCCTGGCATTTATCTCTGTGTAGGCTTCCTAACTTATTCAGCCTTAGTGTATTGAGTTAGGGGACCTCCTGTTCTTAGAAACTAACAACAGATTTGGAAATTCAACAGAAATCTGGAAGGAATGGCTATGAATGATGGCAAATAATTAGAGACCTCTGAGCTTCTTTTGCTTTGAATTTGTTTTCAAAGGGTTTTTGAAGTTACAACTTATGTTGCTGTAAACATCACTGTCACTTTTGGGGTCTTTCATTAGCATTTCTATTTGTTAATCTCCCTGCAAATTCAAATGCAAGTTCCCGAGCTTTGTGTTGTATGATGCTTTCTTGTAGTCTCTGGGCACAAATAAGTTAACTATCCTCAAACTCTAAACAACAGAAGACATGTCTTTTCCCCAAGCTATGCTGTTGGTATTCTTTTTCTCTTGCATTGCCATATGTGTGGTGAAATGTTTGCAATTGTTTCTAAAGCTTCTTCACATGGTAAAATAGCCAAATCGTTGAGCTGTGGTTAGGGCTTATGGAAAATGTGATCTGATAACAGGGGACAGCATTGTATTCAAGGCAGGACAGAAAGCTAACTACTCATCTGGCATCTCATGATGCAGCAGGGAGAGGTGATCATCTTGTGTTAATTACTAATCCCTGCAAGAGGATGGGGGATCTGGAAGTATGATCTGTTAGGAAAGGGGATCCAAGACATCCAGACTATGGTTTGCTTACATCCACCAGCTTTCACTGCCTTCTCAACATTCACACAGCGGGAATTAATAGTTTTACACAGCTCTAGCAGCAGATACAATTGTCACAAGAAAGAGAATGAAGCAACAGTGTGGAAGAGCTCCTTTAAACAGCTTCTAATTGTCTCTGATATAATTTTCTGTCAGCGCATTAATTTGTGTAAGACATAGTGTGCTGGCTCTGCTCATAAAACCCATTACCTACTGTCCTCTTTCCGAGACCATTTGAGGACATTGTTCCTGTACTCCCTTGGTTCTCTATCCTCTTTACATAATGGTCTGTTATTAGATTTTATTGTGTCCTGCTGATGTGAAAGAAACCTAAAGCCTTGCTTCAATGTCACTTGTCAAATGTGCTAACTCATATAAAGACTTCAAGACTGGCATTGGATATTTCCCTTGCCTCTAGGATTAATCTTTTTACAAGGCACAAATGGATCTGGAAAGTATGGTACACAGCATGCTCTTACTCCCTGCACCTCTTTCTACCAAACTTAACACCCCTCTAATATTAGAACTTTTTCTCCATTAAGGCCATCTGTGTTTCACAGTTGCTATACTCAACTGTATGATTTCATCTCTCTGTGTATTACCTAAGCTCTCAACTTTTAGGACCCATAGAGCCCAGCCAAACTCTTTCAGTTTAACTTAAGGTAGGTTTTCAGTGTATTTCCAGAGACCAGGGGAGCCAATGAGATAAGATGGACTGACACACAAGAAAAGTATAATGCCACTCTGCATTTAACTCTTTGGTATGCTGAAAGCAATAAAGCAATATGCCTGCAAAGGCTGGTCAAAATTCAGTGTTTTTCAGATAGAATGCCACCTCTACCTAAAATATGGTATCTCATGGAGTGCAGCATCATTTGCTGTTGTTCTTGTTGATATTAGTCTTTTCATTTAGAAAACTGAAATCTCTGAACCTGAATATGCATGGCAAATGAGGCTATATAACTTCTCTTCTTATTGCCTAACCAGGCAATAAGATACCTGTAGAGCATCTTATCCATCAATCAATAGTCTTCATAACATTCTCCATGAATGGACTGCTGTGATTCCATAATTATGCACAGGTATTTCAATTTGGTTAATTTTATATCTTGGTAGTGATGTCCTAGGATCCTGCTGGCAGACACAGAAACCAAGGAATGTCATGCTTGTATCACTTGTTCACACATTGCTGGGCTGAGCTGGAAAGGATTTATCTTAGCATCTGCCTAGAACACTTGGTCAATAACGGTTCTGCAGAGTGTAAGCATAATCACATGAAAATAGTCCCTGGCCAAGAGTGGAGTGGTTTATTCTTCATTTTACTGCTCCTCAGAAGATTAAGGCTTAGCTCCAATCTGTGATTGCTTTGCATCAGCAAAGAATTGTGTGCACACATTGACCATCTACCATGTTGCTTTGCAATGCTGAATCTGTAAGCATTTGTCTTTTGCCTTGAGACCAAGGCTGATGTTACTTCGTCAGCAATCTCTAATTATTCATTTAAAGAGGAAAGGCTCTTACTAGAAGGACTAAAGAGACCCACGCCAGAATAAAGTGCTTATTTGAAATGTAAAAGACTGAAAATAATGCTCACAAACTGGAAAGACAAGACCCAACCTTCATATCCTGCGTATCAAATAATAATCTCTACTGTCAGTGTACCAATCTCCCTCAAGTGATACCATCCCTGCAGTAAGAAAGCTGAGCTGAAATTTTTGCATCCCTGGGGAAAAAAAAAAAAAAAAAAAAAAAAAAAAAAAGTTTGTATTATGATGTTTTCACACTGAAAAAATGTCCCTGGAAAAACTTCACCTAGCTCTCCACTCATCTTTCTTACGTGCTCCTCCTTGCTTACCAAGTCCTTTGATATCATCCAGCTGAAGCTACATGTGGACTCTGTGCCCTCCTAAGAATCCAAGCTTCAACTACAACTGTACTCCAGCATGGTTCATGCACCAGGGAACAAACTCTGCTCTGAGCTACAATCCTTACATACATGAAGAGGTACATGTGAATCATTGTAGCAGCCCTTGGAGCAAACTGTCTCCCAAAACTGCACTTTGCAGGGGAAGAGAGGCCGCACAGGATGGAAGCACTCTCCTTCCCTGGGCTTTGCCACGCTGCAACGCAGTGCCCTCTGCATGCATTCCCTGCCCTGTGATTGCTTTGGGGCACTGTCCATGGCCTTCAGGGTTGCAACTGGAGAGAAGCGTCGCAGTTGGAAGCTCAAAACTCTCTGTGAGCCTCAGTGATACCACTCCACCTGTCCCTCATGCTGGGTTATCTTCCGTTCGTTGTCAGCGCTCGTTAAGACTGAGGGCATCTCTCTCGCTCACTCTGCCTTCTCAACATCTCCGGTTTCACAGGAGCAGAGTCAAACAGAGCCAAATCCACGCAGGGTCTGGAACGGATCAGCTGGGAATGCCTGTCAGGCCTGTCAGGCAGCCAGTGAGCTCCCTCCCTTCTCGCTGGCTTTCTTTGAGGTTTGTAGCTCTTCTGCTTTCTTGTTGCTATTGCCACCCTCCCCACACTCCCCCTTGCCACACACCAAGCACCCAGACCTTTACTGAGCACTTTACTTAATCCCTAAGATTCTTTATATAGGGATTAATCTTCTCGTCACAGTGGGAGAGCTCGGCGGGAGGGGGTACATTTATCTCTCCTGCTGAGGTCTAGAGTTGCATTGCTGTGATTATTGGTGGTAGCAGTGTGCGTGTGTCTGGGGATCTGTGTTTAGCTTCTTCGTTTCTTAAACAGCACAGGGGCAGCAGCCAGGCACGCTTTCTGGCTGCATTGTTTGCTGCTAGCGAGAGAGATTGTGAGTGGGGAGCAGCATGGCAGAACAAGAAGCCAGTGGCTTGAAAGTCCTTCTTTCCACCCTCCAGGTAAGAACGGCTTGAACTAATGAGAGAGGTGCTTGGGCTTGTTTTCCTCTTTAGTTCACCAGCAGTGACTTGTTGAGCTTAGTTTGTTCTTAGGAGCTCCCTGCTGGCTTGTCTCTAAAAGCATCAGCACACAGGAGTCCTGACCTGCACCTCCCACCCTAAAGCACCTTTATGAAACGAAGTTTCACTATCCGAAGACAAACGCTAGCAGTTACTGCTATGCATCAATCACCAAGCCCTGTCTGCAGTGCCTCGGCTTCTGCAATCTTGCTGTGTGCAGCAGGGGAATGAGGGAGGTGTGAGGAATCGGCTGCTTTGCGATGAATGGGACCTGACAGCACTGTCAGTCTGTGAGCGAGGCGAGCTGCAGCAGCGTGCAGCACTGCTCCGAGCGCCGTGGAGAATGAGTAAACAGATCTGCCTGGAGGCTGCAAGTTCCTCCCTGTCAAACTTACTTCACCAAGACCCCAAAGCACTCTCAGGAAAGCAGCAAGACCTCCCTTGGGCTTGGTGAGATGTGGAGTGCTCAGCAAATGTCCCCGAGGAGCAGAGGGGAGGGAAATGTTCCACTCCAGGATCACACTTGGTGGACAGGAGAAGTATTTCTTCCTTTGTCTGTAGGGTATCCCCTTGGTTCTCTTTTCTCCCAGCATGTATGTGCTCCTTGTGGTCTCACAGGAGAGGAGGCATGACCCACTCTATGAAATGAGATGCGTGCTTTGGAAGGGAACCTATGCATTCATGAGATACTGTTATGTCATGAGTGGTGGGTGGGAATTGTTCTGCCAGGACAAGTTGCTTGTGCAGAAAACAGCTTTTAGACTAGTTTTCACTAGTTTATGGTGAAATTCCAATTGTCTGCATTTCTAAGGTGCCCTCATCTGGGTCAGAGCCCCACGGGGACAAGAGTTTGGGGCAGTGTGCGCTACAGGATCTTTACATCTGGGGCAGCAGCATCCTCTGACAGCTTTATGCATCACCAAAACCTTGCACTACTGCATGCACAGGAGCAGAAAATAAGGAGCACATTGTGTGAAACAGACTTACCTCCTGGATCAGCCCAAGAGCTCATGTCCCTCAGCCCTGTGTTTCTGAAGGTTTTTGTGACCCATCAGAAATGTGTATAGAAGGTCGTAAAACCCCATGGTACGTACTTGGCTCCAGAACCATAGCTGCACACAGTGATCAGCCTTGACATCTTTATCCAAGCTTGTGTAACTGTCAACAACTTTTATTTCTCATAACATTGCCAAACTCTGGTTTGCCTTCCATGGCACCCTGTGGCGATGAGTTCTGCAGAAGAATGGGCACACATGAAAGTTGTTTACTGTTCTTTTTTATGGCAGTGTAACTTGCCTGCCCCTGTTGCTCTTTCAGCATATGTAATGCATGTTTTGCATTAGATCGTGTTTTTGCCACATCCAGGTTACAGTTTGTTACTTTGGATAACTCAGAACTGAGTGTACATCTCCTGTTTCTTCTTATACTTTCTAACGCTAACAGTCCTGGTGCTCTGTGCATAATCTGGGGACAGAAAGGCACAGGAACAAATTGGGATCTGTGACTTAATATATGTGATTGATTAACAAAGCTGCATGGAAGAGGATGAACCTAGAACCAAGTGAAAGAGTTGGCAAAACTGCAAGGGTATTGGCAAAAATGCAAGGCTGCTGAGCGTTCAACCACAGCATTACAAAATCTAACCTTAGTACAGCAACCTTTTTTCCAAAAAATTCATATTCACTTAAAGAAGAGCGACGGGCTTTCTCTCATTTGTTGTGATTCCTCTCCTCCTCTCTTGCCTTCAGCCAAAACTTTATCAGTGAATCTCTCCAATGCCATCACCTGTCCCAGGTACACAAACTCAGAGATAAAAAGGACCTTTGCTAGTCACAGTCTAGAAGCGCTGTCCTGGGAAATAATGACTTTTGTTGACATTTGCATTTGCTGATATGATCTCTCCACACTTTTTATTTTCTCCAACAGCTGTCCAAAACACAGTGGCTTTGTTTTTGTGTCCTGCCAAATTGCCAGTGCTAGTTCATATTATTTTATTGGGCATGAAGAACATATCTGCTGAGTACAGCAGGATGTTCTGCAGGACAGTATTACTGTGTATTTTCCCTTTGTTTTATCACGTAAGTCTCGTTTGTTTACAGAAAGCTTTCAGCTGGAGCATGAGGGAACATTCACCCACCAAGCTGCTCTTTACAGACCTCAGAACAAAAACAGCCTTGTTCCTTCAGTCACACACTGACAACTAGTTTTCTATCTTACTTCCAAGCACTGGCATGGATCATTCTTCCCAATCTGAGGAATGTATCCACCTGAGAAATGCTCTATCACCTTCAGCTGAGAGAGCAATCCAGTTTGTGTCCTCCTGGCACAGACTCCTGGTCTCACAACCTGGCTTTGGTAAGGATGGTCTCACGCAGACCAAAACTCTTAGAACTGTTGACACTGTGCACTTTGTCACAGAATTCCTGCTCCAGTCAAAGAAAGAAACGCATTTGGTTTTTTGAGTTCTTCAGAACTGTTAACAGAGCAAAAAGGGAACATGATCCTCCAATGACAGCAGAAACTCATGGAGCATGACTCGTTACAGATGTTCTGAAAAGTGACAAGGTGAAAAGCAAAAAACTGCTTTTAAAGCGCGGCTGCATTTTGTCACTGAAAAGTCACTGCAGGGAAGACGTGACATTTCAGATCCCTAGGTAAGAAGTGCTTCACTGCTTACAAGGTACAGCTTTCAAATGTGAGTTTCAGGTTTAAGAAAAACCTCTCCCTTTTTCACAGGTTTTGTATCAGTATTGCAGTGCCAAACCATTAGGTACTTTCTGTTATTTCTTATTTTGCTTTTAACCCTGATACTTTCTTCTTTGGTCTCTCTTCTTGACTCTCCCTATCCCACCTGCTCCTACAGTTATCCCATTCGTCTCTCATAACCTACACCAAGCCTGGGCTGGTTACTGCTCTTCACTCTACTCTCCAGTCAGACCTTGCTAAAAATCAGCATCGTCTCCACGTACAGCTTATGTTCAGGGGAAAAACTCTGATGTTTTGCAGGCAGCCTCCTTAAAACTAAATCCCAGACAGATTTGGGTTTAGATCCCCTATTTATTGTAATGCCTAAAGGAGGTATGCGGGCATTGATTTAAAAAAAAAACGAACTATCAGTGGTTAAGTAGAACAATACAAAATGCAGCATCTTTTGTTGCATCCCAGATTATTGAATCATTTGTGATTTTAGAGCATCCGTGTTCATACTGCTGGTTATCCCAGCTTCATCTCACTCGTCCTCCAGATGCACGCTAAGTAAGCAACATTTTGATTCTTCCTCTGCTTTCTCCCTGCTCTTTTCCTTGCTTGCCAGGCCGAGATATGAGCCTGCCTTGGTTACTCCTGAGAACATCTCCTTATTGCATGGCAGTGTGCACTGTGTTGCCTGAGGAGTCCCAGATTTCCTGTTGGCTCTCAGCACAGTGTTCACATGTTTCCCAAAGCCACACTGTCTGCGTGCATATTCCACTAAGCTGGCAACCCTTGGGGCTGTTGGCAGATCTTTGGCTCATACTAAACCCTACTGTGCTGGACTGCAAAGGTTTCTGAATGTTATGGTTCAAAAGGAAAGAGGTGAAAATCTTATGTATCCACGAGGATGTGATCTGTGTAAAGGGATTCCTGTCTGAATGACTGTGGTGCCCAGCAGGGAAGAGATGCAGGATTCACTGTTTGCTAACTTGAATCTCTCTGTTCCATTCGCTGCTTCTTCCGAGCTGTTTTGCTGGCTGGCTGACAAGGCAGTTCTATTGTTATCCTAAAGTCAAGTGGGAAGATATCTGTGCTGCTCCAGTGACAATGAATATAAATGCATTTTGCAAAATGCTTTTGTCTCCTCTGCATCCTTGCACTTTTGCCATCAGCAGAGCAGCTGAGATTCCTGGGACTGAGCAAAATGGATGTAAAACACCAGGAACTTCTCAGCAAGCAGAACACCTGCTGGTTTGCACAGGAGGTGGGAGAGTTTGGAGATCTGTTCTGTATTTTTGGGAAGCAGCTTGGCATGCCAGGGGTTAGTTGAATACTCTTATAGGGAAGAAAAACTCAGCTCAAAACCAGATGGTCATTTTCATGTGGTTCATTAACTGTGTTTTATTGAGATTGTTATACCTAAAGTAAACAGCAGTGGATTTAGTGTTCTCCTATTCCTTACAAAAAATATTCTATCTTTGGAGCAGAAAAAGCAGTGCAGTTAGATCAATGAGGCACTTGGATATGGTGTTCCAAGGAAAATCCATCGTAGGGAAACACTGGATGTTCTGTCAGTACTCTCCCATCTCTAATGCCAAAGTAGCATTGTATGGGAATTGCTAAGTCATGGTCTGAGCCAATGATTGAGCACCTGGTGGAGGGACACAGCCAGCCCTGGAAACACAGGTGAAAGCAATTCCTGGTTCCACCCCTCCCTAAGCCTCATTTAAGGGCTGGCTGCCATAAAGGAAGGGTCTCTATCTGCAGGTCCTTCCTTTTGGAGTATTTGGTGAGTCCTCCTCTTTGGGATGGGTAAGCAAATCCTTTTTTTCTTTAACTGCATTGTGACCATCCCCCTTTTTTTCGGATAATTGAGAACTGATTATCTGCTATTGCTTTTGCATAAAGACATAGGTTGCATATGCTCATTTTTTAAAGAAGAAATACTCTTCTGCAGGCAATTCTACAGAGGTTCTCTAAACCAGTATCACAGCTTTCAGAGTCACTGCTTGTTCTTTTTGCCTCGGCTATCACATTGTCTCTGTCTAAGGAGAACCTAAAGGTAATTCAGAGCACTTCTTGGCTCACCACCGTGGGGCACTGCTGAGTAGGAGGAGACCTTGCACCATCAAGAGAGAAAGGAGGCAACATCTGGGCATCAACCCCAAATTCCTACAAGGCCATGGAAGACATATCAACATTTGGCATTCTTGTCAGTGCAGAACACTGAAAGCCCTCAGAGGCAGCTG